AAAAAAAATAGAAGTTGCTGAGCAGATTGTATAAGTTCCTTTCTCAAAGGGGAGGAGGTTGGAAGAGAGAGGGAGGGAAAAAGGGAGAGGAGGAAAGTGAGAAAAAGAATCAGCAGGTTAATGTCCTCCTCTGTTGCTATACTCGCAGTTCAAAGTAGGTCTGACCTGACCTTCTCGGTATTCCAGAAGTATATGTACTATTATCCTCGTTTCACAAATGAGAGACTGAAGCTCCAAAGCATTTGCCCAAGAGCAAGTCCTCCCCCGCAGTCCAAAGCGGGTCACTTGCCCGGGCTTTACACACCTACTAAAACCCGACGGAGCCCTCCCCACTCCGGGGAGGGCTACGTTCCTCCGGAAGCCCCGCCTCCCCGCCCCGGGACGGGCCGGACAAGGCCTCAATCCCGCCCCGCGACGTTTCAGCCCCGCCCCCGAGCCTTCCACCTCTCGCGGGATCTGTCGGGAGGACGGATGGGGTCAGGTCCCATCATGGCGGCTGAAGAGGCGGATGTAGATATCGAAGGGGACGTGGTGCCCGCGGCGGCACAGTCTGGGTGAGGCGTGGACACTGAGTCTCCCTGGGACGGGGAGGGATTTTTATGTGAGGAGCTTACCCGGGAACGGACGCAGGTCGGGCAGGTAGCCAGGGAGCGGAAGCCTGTTCTCGGGGCCAGGATCTTTAGGCGGCCTGGGAGGTGTCGCGCGCATCTAGTCTGCCGGCTAGGTCCTCAGCCCAGCTGGCGGGTATCCGGGCTGGTGTCTTAGGCCTCTTTCACCTTTGCCTGGGTGCTGTGAGGGTGCCGATTTCACCTAGCATATTACAGTCTGTAGCAATTAGAGTCCTTCCGTTACTTCCATCCCAGAATCCGCCCCAACCCCGTCCCTGCCACTCAATAACTAGAAATAGGGCGGCTCCTGGACGGGACCGCAGCTCCGGGATCTCGCCCGCAAGCCTTGTGACCTTGGGCGAGTTGTGTCTACGCTACTTGCCACAGATGTAATCTTCCACCTATGTACAATTGTGAACAGCTTTGAAAGGCAACTCAGCTGAAAGTAAAAGGACAGGACTTTAGAGTTGGACAGTTCTTGGTTCTCAGGTGTTGGCTGCCCCTGCCAGATGTCAGTGTCAGCTTGTACCAGACATTTACTTAGCTTGTCAAAGCCTCACATCAGACAGTTCATGTATAAACTGGGAATCGTGAAGTGTATTTCATATGGTGGTTGGGAGGATGAAATGAAATAATTATGGATTTACTTTAGCATATAAGTAGGTGATCTGTAAATGTTTAATTTTATAATCTGTTGCTCTCCAGGGTGTTGTTAGGAACCAGTGAGGGAGCACGATTTATTTATACCAATTCAGCAAAGCCAGTGTGGTTTTGAAGAACAACCTCCAGCTTAAGAGATCTAGTTCTTTGACTTACTGCTTTCTGAGCAAGAAATTGTTGTATACCACTTTTAAAATGTACTTCCAGAATCACCTTTTAGTAATGGAGGAGGGCTAGACTGTTTAGGAACAAAAGAGCGCAGTCCTAAATTCAGAGGACTGTGTTACTTACAGCTATGAACAAGTCCATTAGAGCTCTGTTCGTTTGAACCATGTGAAATTGCCAATTTGGGACCATTTTGACCTATAAAATGGCAGTTTTATCGAGTCGTCTTTAAATTATGAAAAAGAGTACCAAGCCTGTCTTTGGAGGGACGAAGGTGTGGGTTTAGAGTTCTAAACTCTGAAGCACTGTAAGAATGTGAGGAGTAACTCAAATAGTTCCTTGAGGTAAAGTTTCCAAAAGCCACATAGAGAGTACAAAGCCTGTAATAGCAATCATTGTTAACGTTTTAGATGATGTTAATTTTGACCAACTACTTTTGCATGATACTTTTGCATGAATCATGCAAGATCATATAATTTATGATTATATAATTTACTTTTTCCACAAGTCTATGTGATAAGTGGGAAGGAATACTTACCTGCAGTCCAGAGGGAAATAAATTGGTGTTGGTAATACTACACATCACCTGAAAGCATTGGCTCTATCCCTTTTCATAGGTTGTTGTTAATTTTCCTAATTGTGTATAATTTTTCTTTCTTCCCTTTCCTATTCTCCTTGAGCCTTAGGTCTGTGGTTATACCTGTGATCATGTTAATCTCAGTCAGGTTCACCAAGGTTATCAGTTCCTGATGGTCAGAACCATTGCCTTATACAACTCCAAAGAACATCATTAACGTTTTATTTTGGATGAACAGATTAATGTTTTAATTTGGTGAATGTTGCTCCCTAGTGTTGAGCTCTTTAGGTTTTAATGTAACTGGTGCTTCCTGAAGTATGTAGTTACATATTACAACAATCGTGGACACCCTTGAAGGTTATTTTAAAGCACACTTTTAAAGCAAGTACTTACTAAGTTCTCAGTACCAGAACTAGAAGATGGCCTTGAAATTAGTTTCCCTTTTACTTCTACCACTCCCTGTCATCTGCCTTTTCTTCTGCTTATTCTTTAAATCATAGCATTCCAAGGGATTTTGTCATGACTGTTAGTAGCACATACGGTCCCGAGTGGTACTACCTCTCAGGACTTAAATTTCCATCTGTTAGGTTGGACCATATGAAATTTTGCCAGTGTTTGATCATTTTTACCTATAAAAATGGCAGTTTTATAAATACCACCTAACACATGCTGTTTCTCAAATCTGTCATCACCCATATCTCTCTCCTGAGCTCTAGAATCTATTTTCCAACTGTAATCTGTCTGTACTTGGATGTTACTGCAGACACCTCAGTCTCAGCTTATAAATTTTCCCCAGCAAACCTGTTGCTCCAAGTTCTCTAGTTCAGTAAGTGGCACTGTCCATGCAGTCACCCAAGATACAGACCTAGATTCTATCCTTTTTCCTTACCTCTCTCCATCCATTCATTTTATCCTATCAGTCATTTAGGATTTGTTTATTCTAAGTATTCTTTAAAAATAATACTTCTATTCATGTTGCTGATCCTCAGATCTAAGTTAGTTTCCTGTCCCTATTGCTTATTCAATTATTTGTTCTTAATTGCTCCTTTATTTGTCCTCTTTCTACTCTTTCCTGAGGTTATAGCATTCTTCCTTGCATTCAGATAAGATCATGTTAGTTCCATCATCAAATGATTTTAAGATAAAATCCTTATTGCTTAACTCCTAGAAACCTGTGTGATTCTTGCCGATCTACATCATTCAGTTATTCAACAAATACTGATTAGCTTTTAAATGTCAAACCTTACATATATAGAAGTTTTCAAAGCCAAGTCCTTGCTCAGCAGAACTAATGTTTTTATTGAATGAGAAAGTAATCCTTTGATATATCCTAAATGGAGGTAATTAGAAAAACATAAAGGGGGTAGGTTAGTTAGCTTGTTAGCTTTTATCTCTATACTTACCCAGGAAAACCGTAAGTTATGAAACTACAGGACCTCAAATGTCAGTGTGAATATAGTAGAAGGACTTGATTTGGAAAAGGGAGAAGCAACAAGATTGGCAACAAATTAAGTGTGTTTTGTGTTTGTGGGGTATTGGGGGTGGGGGAGAGTATCCTGAAAGGGCAGGCTCAAATTTCTGGCATGAGCAACTGGAGATACCATTGAGTAAGATAGGAAGCTGTGGAGACTGGCAGTTTTGACAGGAAAGGTGAGCCCAGGTTGGCTTATATTGATATGTAGTGCCTGTGGTGATTTAGTTATCCAGATTCATGCATCAAAGGTATGTATGTTGCTAATCCATACTAAGGAACACTATGTAGAAATATTTCTGCAGTTCACTTGGTTATACTAGCCCATCCTGTGTACTCTTGGAAACCTAGTTAATTGAATAAAGATTTCTTTCTGCTAGTACAAGTCTCAGTTCTTTATTTAGTATTTCTGGTAGCCTCTATCAAATAAAAATGTCAAAATCTTTTTTGCCATCAGTGGTTGAGAGAAATTATGGCTTTTAGCCTGATAACCCCACAGTTTATTACATTGTAGGACTAATTGAAGATTCAAAAGTATAAACCTATATATATAAGTTTTTGCAGTTTGGACTATAGAATTTAAGTCAAGTAACTTAAGTAGGAAACTATAAATTCAGAACATATAAAAGCAGATACTAAATTTACTTATGATAGACTGGGCCTCTCAGAACTTGAGGTTTTTTTGCATATGAGGTGAACATTGTTACTGCAGAGTTCTTACTAAAAGGAGCAAGAGAATTAACAAAGTTCAGTACCTTTAGGCATAGAAAAGCCCCCAAGTAATTCAATTTTTTTAATTATATGAGTCATTAAAATGTTGCATTTTCTTATCTCTTATTTGTATTATCCTTTAAGTATTTTAGTTCTTCTATCCTTATTTTCCTTCATTTTCAGGGTAGTGCAATTGATGGCTTTTATGCTTTAGATATAGCCAAAGGAATATGTTATAAAGTTGAATTACTGTATATATAAGAATACTCACCCAAAAAAAAAGAATTTTAAAAATACGTATCAAAAGAAATCTGAAGTATTGGCTTATGGACACAGAGGATGTTAGTTTTTTCTTATGAAGTTGTTTATTCTGGGGAAGCATAGTGAACTCTCAGTCTTAATGTTTGCCAGTTGAGACAGGAATGATTTAGAACCCACTATATTGTTCACAGACAGTGGAGATAGTAGAACGTCGACATCTCTGCAATATTAAATATGTATTAAAAAGAGAAGGGAACTGGCTCTCCCTGGTGGCGCAGCAGGTTCAAGCACAGCACTAAGAAGCTTAAGCCACTTCCGCATGAGTTCGATTCCCGCCTGCCCCAGAGGTGACCACATGGCGTGGCAGACCTCTCCTGACCGCCTGCTGCTCCCCTCAGCAGTGTACTTCGTGGATCTTCCTGTTCTGCACCCCACTCTGTCTCTGGTGAATCCTCTCACCCTCCGCATCTCTGACCTGTACCCCAGTTCTGTACTAATAAATAAATAAATCTTTTAAAAAGAGAAGAAACTAATACTTGCTTAATATCTGTAACTCTATATACTTCATAAATTATAACCATTAATGATATATCACTTTCATTCCCAATTTCTTAATTATTACAGAAGTGATGAAAATTCAGTATCTGTTTTACAAGATCACTATCTTGATTCATCATGGAAAACTGAAAATGGCCTCATTGTGAGTATTTTATGAAAATGCCTTATGCTTTAAGTTATTATTTATTGCCCAAAGTACCTTTATTTTTGGTTCTGGTTCTCAGCAGTCACAGGTAAATATTGAAACATTTTTCTTACTATAAAAACAAAAGAGAAGAAACTCAGTCTTCTTTTAAATTGGAAAGATGGCCTATTAGGAAATACTTTGGAACCGCCAGATTTAGATACATATCTTTTCTCTACCACTTAACAGATTTGTGAACTTAAGTCTCTTTGGTCTAAATACAGAGTTCATGTCTTCATTTGGTAGCTAAATAGCTAAGTACTTATACCAGGTATACAGGTTTGAGGAAAACAGGTATAACCAAAATAAAGGTGGTCCTGCTCCAAATAAACGTCTTTCTATTCTAAATTAGTCTTTGTTCTTGGGGAATCAGGAAATGAAGAAGTATACAGATAAGTTATATAAGATGAAGTGTATAAGCAAGGTACTAAGAGTAACAGGATAGGGAACCTGCTTTAGGTAAAGTTGTCAATAAGAAAATCTCAAAGTGACATGTAACTTGAAAAGTAAAAGAAAGAAAGGAGTAAATATGTGATGAGTTGAGGAGAAAATATTCTTTGCCAAAGGAATTGCAGCATAAAATTCCTGAGTAGCTCGTCTGGAATGTAGTGGGAACAGAGGGATAGATGCTGTGACAAGTTTGGAAAAGTAAATGAAAGCTCTGTTATACTTGTATGAAGCCAGGGTAGAATTAGAAAGACCTGGTTAGAAACATTTGTAGTCATCCAAGCAAAATTTGATGATAAATTGGCCTGAAGTTGTGACAGAATGGGTAGGAGTGACCAGTTTTGGATTACATTGTGGAGGTAGAACTGCTTAGTAGATTAGATTGGGGATTGAAGAGAAGAGAAGAGAAAACCCAGGATGATGCCAGGCTTTAAGCTAGAATAACTGGATGACAAGTAATGGCATTTACAGAGTTGGGAAAGCAGAGGGAGGAGCAGGTAAGGATATTTGATGGCGAGTTCTGTTTTAAATATGTTAGGATGAGAAACTTAGTAGATACCTAAGTGGGATTTTGCGTGGGCAATTATATTTAAAAGTCTAGAGCCTGGAGAAGGGACCTGAACTGAAAAGTTCTAAGTTTCGAGTTGAAAATGAGTGTGGTCATTCAAAGAGATTATCACTTGGGGGGTGGAGAGGTGGAGTAAATGTGAGTGTTAGGAATCGGTAAATGACAAAATTCCTGATGTCTAATAGCGGTTTACCCATAATAGCCATTACTACTTTATTGTGAGTGAGAACCTGAGCCTTGGAATCCAACAAACTCAAAGTTCTAGCTCTTTGCTTTTCCACTTAAAACTCTAGCAGTGCTATAGAGACATCTCTGAATTAGTAGTGACATCTTAGTGTTATTGTGGGAATCAAGGATATGTTTATGTTTTAAGTAAATTGTAGCTATTATCTGGATTTTGATTATTATGTGTTTTCATTTAACAAAACACAAATAATAATTTCAGAGACTGGAAATAAAACAAAAATATACTATTCTCTTTTTTTTAATAGCCTTGGACTTTGGATAGCACCATCAGTGAAGAGAACAGAGCTGTCATTGAGAAAATGTTGTTGGAAGAAGAGTATCCTTAATAATTATAAGGAAAGTAAAAAGTTCAGGATTATAAATCTATAAATGCAAAAAAAGAGTAAGTTACTAGATTGACTTTATTTGGCCCCAGACTGCTACTCCATAGTATGTTGTCTGTCAAGACTTAAAGCAGGATTTTATTCCTCTGCTTCTATTTTACTACTAAGTCTGAGTTATGGTTCAATATTTTTGAGTTTCTGTTCTCAGCCAATCCTTTATACTGTCTGAATAGTGAGTAGGAATTACAGTATTTTAAACATCAAGCTTTAGTTCAAGTCTAAGATCATTTATTTAACCCACACTTCTACTTTTAGTTATATAAGCTAAAACTCAGTGATGTTAATTTGTTCAAGGATGTGGAATACAATATAATAAAGTTCTTATTTTTATTCCACTAGTTTGCAGGTGTTATGTGGGAGGATGCTATGTTAAATGCACAAAACAAATATTATAGGATGAATATTTTTCCCCCAGAAGCTGTGATACCTTATCCTTGGTTCAGCTGCAGGCCCCTTTTTTCCTTCTGTATGGGATGCTGGCAATTTAGCTTCTTTGGGATTCAGCTTTCTTATATGTAAAATGAGGAAATTGAACAAAATAAGTTATGAAGTTTTATTTTTGATGACATATTTTGTATTTGTTTTATACAAAATGTTTGCAATCAATGCGTATTTAAAACCCACAGTGCATCTTAGTTTGTGCTAACCACATTTTAATTACTCCGTGGTTGTACATGTGGATGTTGGTATTGGAACAGTACAATTCTGGATTAAGGTACATTTAAGCAGTCACTTGTTCACTTCCAGCTTTGGAAGCAGAAATAATGATCATATTACTGAGAGCTATGTGAGTTCTTAGAGGGCAGGGATAACATTTTCTTGTGTCTGTCCTTAGCACTTAGCACCACCTAGCACAGTATATGATATGATAAGATATACATAGTATACAGTCATTAGTTGTGACAGAAATGTCAGATTAATAAGAATATTGGTGTAGACTGGTTTTTATAAGTTTGAGAAGCATATTCCTTGGTAGATTTGATCTAAGTGTTATTTTTGAGTATAGATTCTATACTCAAAATATTTATACTTTGAGTATAAATTCTATTACCTTTAGAAATATGAAAACAGATACTTCCAAACTACTGTAAACAATCAAATTCATGTTATATTTTCCATATGTTTTAGGAAAAAAGATTTGTATAAAACATTGAGAATATTCTTTCAGCCAACTTCTAACAGGGAAGATAAGAAATTAAGAAATTAGTGTCTGTGTAGCACACATTTTGAGGGGGCACTGTGATGTGTGAATCCACATGTAATATTGAATATATTAACAGTGCTGTCAGGTATAAACATTTCTGTCTTAAGTTTTGTTATAATTTAAAGAACTAGAGAGGAATTGGTTTAAGTGAAATTTGTGTTCATTTCATGAGTAGATGATTGCCTACTTACATAAGTTATATAAAAGTTATGACTGTTATTGAAAATTTCCTTAATTGTACAGGTATTATTTATCTAAAAAGTCACTTCCAGAAAAATTCTGGCTTGATCAAAGGGAAAATGATAAAAAATATATGAAAAGGTAAGATCAATTTTAAACTACTTTTGAACATTTGAATTACATTTTTTTAAACTTCGTCACAAGCTTCCTTGTTTTCTTTTTTTCATGTGGTGCAGTCTACAGAAAACAGCAAAAATCATGTATGTATTTACGTTTTATATTTTAAAACCTTTTTAATTAGCAAAAACTGGGGAGAATGAAACAAAAATATAATATTGAACTATGGAAAAGCATAAGTACAGAACTATAAAAATCAAAATTTTTTGTTCATATGTTAGAATGCCACAACATAATTTTATGGTGTCATTTATTTGTAAGAATTTCTTTCATGACCCTGCAGTTCCATCAGATTATGGAAAAGATGGCTTTGTGGTAAAATTTTTAAAATGTACTATCTTTTAGGAATTGATAAAATTTCTGTTGCCCTACCAGTTAATTTTCAGTCATTTTAAATAGAATTTGTATTTGTGTGTTTCAGAAACTAAGTTTATATAATATGCTTTCCCTACACTAGAAGAAAATTTGATGTTATAAGTATTAATGTTTTGGGGAGCTTTTTGTGTGTAAAAGAATTGGGGTAGTCTAGAGGTGCAGGGAATGAGGGCAGAGAGAGAAGATTCACTAGCAGCAGGTTGGGGAGCAGAAAAGGCAGATTAACTGAAATAAACTGATGAGGGACAGTGGATGAGACAGAAGAGGTCTGCTGTTCATGTGTGGCTTAGCTCCCATTGGCAGGGATCAGACTCAGGCAAGAGTGGTGATAATGTTGAGACTTAAACCCTAGGCCACTGGGGAGGCCCTATATAGTTTTCAAAATTACAAGTTTATGGGGTTCCTTAAAAAGTTATATTTTCTGGGCCCTCCCTGGTGGCGCAGCGGGTTAAAGCACAGTACTGAGAATCTGAAGCCACTTCCGCATGAGTTTGATTCCCGCCTGCCGCCTGCCCCGGAGGAGACCACATGGCGATCCAGACCTCTCCTGACCCGCCCGCTGCTCCCCTCAGCAGTGTACTTCGTAGATCTGCCTGTTCTGCTCCCCACTCTGTCTCTGGTGAAGCCTCTCACCGCCCCTGAGCCTCTGGCCTGTACCCCAGTTCTGTATGCACAAATAAATAAATAAATCTTTAAAAAAAAAAAAAGGTTATATTTTCTGATTTGCAATTGCCACAAACCTGAGCCCTGAGCAGATTTTTAACTTTTACATTTTGCTAAATCAACAACCAAAAAATGAAGTTCATGTGAAGATTAATGCCTTGCTTGAATTAAATTAGTGAGTTTCAAGACTGTTTAATTTGGCTTCTTAAACAGTAAGCATAACATTTTTGTTTTGTTTTTAATTTTTTTTTTGGCTTAATATGTATATGGTTAGATGGATGTATCAAAGAAATGTTATTTCTGGAACCAACTTAAACTTTTACATGCCTTTCAGGATTTGGAAAGGTATTAATGTCTGTTCCTTGATTGCCTTCCTTTAGTGTCTTTTAGTGTTACTTTCACTCAGATCTAAAGATTATGTCTTTTGGGACTCCAGTCACCCTGAGCTAGATAAGTATAGAAGGTAGTATAAATCTGTTCCCCCACCCCAAGTCTGTCTCCCACCCAGGTAGAGACTGGAGCCTTCTTCAACTCTTGGACTCAAAGTATTGATTTCAGCCCATGGCTGTCTGTAACCTTTAGCTTCATAAATACAGAATGTTCCATTTCAGAAATTTTTTTGCCATTCCTTTTTTTCCCCTCAGGGTACACTCTCCTACAAAACCAGCCAGTTACTCAGTAAAGTGGACGATAGAAGAAAAAGAGCTGTTTGAACAAGGGCTGGTAAATAGAGCAATTTTTAATTCATAGAAAATAATTCTAGAAGCAAATATTGATAAAATTATATGGTTAAATTAATTTATAAAGACTAGAAATTTCTTTAATTATAGTGATCTCAACTATAGCTTTTTTATAGTTAAAGTGATGATGTTTTAGTGTAATATAAGGTAATTCTGTTTTACCTCATACTAGATCACTAAAATTAAATTTGGATCCGTGTTTTAGATGTCAAACTTTTTTGTTGTAATTAAAACCCAGGAAATTGAGCTATATGTCATGTCATGTTTATTTGATACCAATTAAAAGAAAAAATTATCTGGTTTTTCTCATAAGAAAATCCTATATATTTAAAACTGGGTGATCAGCTGAATCCTCTTTTATTCAGGTATTTGGCATCTAAATATTTCATCAAAATATGTTAGTGAATTTATTTCAATGCATAAATGTTTCAGTGACATCTATTTTAGTTAAGTCTATAAGCTACATAATGGAAAAAATAAGTATGGCAATTTCTAATAGTTCTAATTATTAGATACCCTTAACAGAAGAAATCGCTAACAAAATATTGGGGGCTTTTTCTTTAATATCAACAGTAGGTTATAACTTTTCCTTAAAGGTGCATGTTACCTAATATTGCAGTAATTTTGAAATTATGTAAACTATATATACAAAATAGATCATTTATGTAGGAGTCATCAGTGCTAATTGAAATACTGTTTTATAAAAATAGTGGAAAATGTGTATTTTTTATAAGTAGTCATCACTGTGACATTGGTGTATTCTGTGATGTTATACAAATACACAAACTATATTAAAGGTTTATCTTTTCTTGATTTTTTCCCCTGAACTGTTGATGGTTTTATATTGGTTTTTCAGTTTTCTGACCTTAATTAGTCATTTGTATAAGATAACTGACAACTTTGGAGTTTTACCCTTATCACAGCCCAGATCTTTCTCTCTCTCTCTCTCCCCCCAATACACACACTCAACACACACATACATATATACAAATTGTGAAATTTTAGGTTTGTAAAATTTAGTGACATTTATGATATTTAGAAGAACCGCATTTGCATGACTCAAAAGGCATCTACTGTAATATACTGTAATAGGCTGTTAAGTCTCCCTCTCATTTTTATCTCAGTGTTCAGTTCTCTTTGCCTGAGATAGCAAGTGTTTTATGTATCTGTTTTATGTATCCTTTCCAAGAGGTATTTTGTTTTTATATAAGCAAATGTATTTATCTGTATACCTATATCATTATTTGTTTATATACCTAAACAGGTGTTTTAAACTTACTACCAAAAAGATGGAACTTGTTTTTAACTTTTTTAATCACTAGTGTAGTTTGCTTTTTAATTCTTCCGATTTGAGGAAACTGTGTGAGACTGCGATTTTCTTCTTTCCATTCTTAGTCAGAGAACTGTTTGAACAAGAGCTGGTAAATAGAGCAATTTTAATTCATAGAAAATAATTCTAGAAGCAAATATTGATAAAATTATATGGTTAAATTAATTTATAAAGACTAGAAATTTCTTTAATTATAGTGATCTCAGCTATAGCTCTTTTATAGTTAAAGTGAGGATATTTTAGTGTAATGTAAGATAATTCTGTTTTAACTCATACTAGGTCACTAAAATTAAATTTGAAATTGTGAACGCTTTCTTTGCTCCTCTCTTTGCTTCCCCAGTTTTGTAAAGGCAAACCTTCACAAGCCTAACTGGTCACACATTATGCAGATCTCTCTTGTGTGCAAAAGTATACCATGCTGCCAAGTTACCTATTTTTCTTTGTCCCACTGTGAGGCTAACTAAGTTTTAGTTGATCTCACCGAGGCATTAAGAACACTTAAATAGTTAACTTATATTCACTATTAGTTTTTTGAGTTTTACAGTTATCCATAACATTACCTGAATATCTGATATCCATAGGATTACCTAAATGTCTGAATACCTGAGATAGTGTTTAATTAAGGTTTATCAGATAACTCAGGTCTTAGGTGATTTATTACTAAATGCCTGTAAACCTGGCCCCTTGTGTCAGCTTTCCTGAGTTGGGGCTCTTTTTTCCCCCAAAATAGTTTTAAGAATTCTAAAAAGAATTATAGTTGTTGTTCATTGTGAAGTAAAAGTTGGACATAGCTGTAAAGATTTAGTATCAAACAGTAGACTTAACAGGTAAAAAATCTTTTCTCTTTCAAATTATGTATATTCATTTTTGTACTTAAAAACACAGAGATACTCCTCAGATTGTCATTTTTTCCTCCACAACTTCAATATTAACAGGTATAACCTTTGACTATAGTGAGTTATAGGGAGATACTAGTTGCAAGTCATTTCAGTTGTGAGTCAGTCTTTTAAATCAGTTCATTGTGATACCTGTTTAAAGTAGAAATATCTTCTGTGGTGCATGTAGTGTATATTGTAAGAGAAGGAATCTGGACTAAAAATATTATTGTGTCGTTAGTGTCAAACATTTCCAGTTGCTTTTATAAATGGAAAATGTAATGTACATCCATTTCAGACACATGATTTTAAAACATCATCTTAAGATTTGTAACATAGAGAACAATGTAAATATATATGGATAAGTAATGGAAGTGAGAGATCTTCTTTTAGATAGCTAGTGTTATTTTTTTAAAAAAAAAAACTAATTTGTATATTGTCCTGGTCAGTTTGCAAAATTCCAGATTCCAAAAGAATGTGAGTTTTGACTTTCAGCTATGTAAGAGGCCTCATTGTGTGTGTTAGAAAATAAATAAGATGGATTTTTTTAAATGGCAGTTACTTGGAATAATTAATAATTAATGAGTAAATTAATCAAAAGCTGTTTTTTTTCCACTTTGATAACAGGCTAAATTTGGCCGAAGGTGGACCAAAATTGCAAAACTAATTGGAAGTCGCACTGTTCTACAAGTGAAGAGTTATGCCAGACAGTACTTCAAAAATAAGGTAAGCAAAATATAAATGTAATTACAATCTTAGTAATTATGGCATTTATAGTAAATAAAACTAGTGAGCAGAAATAGTTCTTTAATTTAGATATTGAAGTGTAAACATATTTACAGTGAAACTATTTTATACCCATTATTATCCAGATGTTTATCTTTTAAAATACATATCTCCAAAATACATACATTTATCTTTAAAATATATACATATCTCAAAACATATCTTCAGTAGTTTAAGCGTTGCTATTAAATAGGTATTATGTTATTATTCCACTTAATTTCTTATGTTAAGTAGATGGAGAAAATACTAATTGCTCAGGGTTAGCCTATAAAGAAAGGAGTATTTCAAAGAGAAAAGGCTGTGTTTTATTGTTGTTTGTAAAATACTTTTTATATCTAAATATTTATATTAGAGAAAGTTTTTAAGAATTATCAGGGACCATGAATACTAGCATGATTCTGAAATCTGTTTAATAACAGTGATACTTTTACAGTTTTGAAGAATTATCAGAATACTTTAATAGTCTATATCCTTAAAATGTTCCATTTAAACTCTGGAATATAATTAAAAAACTTGGAAATATAGTAGGTAAAATTTGGTGTTTTGATGGATTTACTTGTATACAAGATTTATCTAATTTAATGGCCTTTGGGAATATGTAGTAAGTGAAGGAGCGGATGCATCATATGTCAGTAATCTTTTAACCAAGCAAAGGCACTTTCATGGCAACTTACCCCAAGGTTGAGGTGTTACAGGACAGAAAAAAGTTCAATTTAAGTTACTTTTACCCCCATGCTTCTCATGTCAGTTTTTTGTAAGACTAGAGGTGGGAAGGACATTTTTAATATTAAAACATTATTATGAATTATAATGCAAAATATTATCTAAATTCATAAGGTAAAACAGACTTAAATATTAGCAAGGAATTTTAAAAGTTGTTTTAGACTATATGCACAAATCCTCTTTTTCAACCTGCTACACTCTGGTTCTTTACATAGTAAGCCAGTTAGCCCCAAATACATGATCTTGGGATTCTGTTGTGATACAGTATCTATAAGTAATTTCTTATATACTCAAAACTCCTGTTTGTGAGTTTATCAGCTATGAATAAGATATCTCTAAAGCGCCATATGTGAAGATTTTATATCAAGTCACATGTATTTAGTGATTTTCCCTTGCTACATTATCAGCTACTTACAATTACAAATAGAGAAGAAAATTGCACACCTTAAATTATAAACTATGGGCCCTCCCTGGTGGCGCAGCTCTTAAAGCACTGCACTAAGAAGTTAAGCCACTTCCTCATGAGTTCAATCCCTGCCTGCCCCGGGAGGAGATCCATATGGCGTGGCAGACCTCTCCTAACTCACCCGCTGCTCCCCTCAGCAATGTACTTTGTTGATCTGTCTGTTCTGCTCCTCACTCTGTCCCTGGTGAATCCTCTCACCCTCTGCATCTCTGGCCTATACCCCAGTTCTGTATGAATAAATAAATAAATCTTAAAAAAAAAAAATTATAAACTATGGAGCTACATTTAATGAATCTGCAAAAAGATACTGTTTCTGTCATTATTTTTAAATTAAAGATGATTTTAATTTTCTAAGATACATGCGATAGATTCCTTTAAATAAAGGATGTAGTTTAACATTATAAAATATGATATTCGTTTAGGCATCAGATAGTCTGATAGTCTATTAAAATATTTTAATATCCTAAAAAATACTTTTAGTATGGCAGTTAAAGGTTCATTCTTTGTTTTTTGTTTTTTTTTTTTTTAATGTTTACTTATGTATACAGAACTGGGTACAGGCCAGAGGTGCAGGGGCAGTGAAAGTCTTCACCAGAGACAGAGTGGGGAGCAGAACAGGCCAACTGATGAAATAAACTGCTGAGGGGAGCAGCGGGCAGGTCAGGAAAGGTCTGCTGTGCCATATGGATCACCTACAGGGCAGGAGGATCGAAAACCCACTGAAGTGGCTGTGGCTAGCTTGCAGTTCTGTGTTCTAACCTGATGTGTCACAGGAAGGGCCCTGGTTCATTCTTTATGGGTGTTCTGAATTAAGATGAAATTTTGAATTTAATATCAAAAAATATGTAATATTTCTATGCAACTCACTATTATTTTGATTAATAAAAAACACCAAGCTTTGAATGAATCATTTGTGGAAATTTGAAATGGTGACCTGTCACTTTTAAGGTGAGTTATAGACATTTAAAAAAATAAATGCAAAATAAAAATATAATACACCGATGATGTAGCATTGTATTTCTCTGTGTGTGCGTGCGCGCATCATTAATTGAATCTTAATACTGTGAGGACTTCATTCTTGTTCTTAAGGTAAAATTAGATGGTCCAGAGAAAGAAACACCAAGTCAGAAGAGCAGCAGTGATCTTCACGTTAAAAATGAAGTTGTGGGGACAAAGTCATGGACACCATCAAGTTTAAGGGGACATGCTGATCCCAACCTGAATGCTATAAAAATTGAGAAGTTATCTGATGATGAAGAAGTAGACATCACAGATGAGACAGATGAGTTGACCTCTCAAGTACCCCAGAAGAATCCTAGTAGTGATCTTTTAAAAGGAATTTCTAATAATAAAATGCACAGGACCAGTGAAGGAGAATTCATTGCTTGTGACAACTGGAAACATCCCATCCCTAAATCTTCCAAGGAATACCTTCAGAATGTACAGCATAGTGAAATGGAAACCCTTTCAAGTTCAGGAATTACATTTTGTGTTGAAAAACAGGTTCCCACTGACAAAAAGTCAATTGAGTTAAATAATCAGACATCTGATATACTGGTAGAAAACTGTGACAAGCAAGATGGAAATGATGCCAGCCAGTTGCCTTCTCCAGAGCTTTGTGAAGTTCAGAAAGACTTGAGTGATAATGAAATGTTTTCTCATTCATCCTGCCAAGTGGAAGAAGAGAACCATGAGGAAGAAGAACTTAAGCCACCAGAACAAGAAATAGAAATAGATAGAAATATCATTCAAGAAGAAGAAAAACAAGCAATTCCTGAGTTTTTTGAGGGTCGCCAAGCTAAAACACCTGAACGATATTTGAAAATTAGAAACTACATTTTGGATCAGTGGTAAGAAAGTATTGTACTTCAGATGCTGTTTTAAAATTTATTATACTCTATAGTATTTTAATCAAACATGTAGAATTTAGTATTTTATGTTGCTGGTGATAAAGGGAGCTTTAACAGACTAATATATTTTGGTAGCCAAGACACACGACGTATTAGTGAAACTTTTTTTGCAAGTTCGGAACATTATCATGGGCTCTTATCTTAACTCATGTAAATATTCATTAGTAGTGTTTGGCCCTGGAATAAATAATAAGTGATTACCCTCAAAAGCAGCTTCTTAGAACAATAATAGGAAGATACAGAAAACACTACTGTACTAGAAGAGAGTGTTTTCCCTAGTTTAGCATGCACTTTGAAGTATGAAGACAAGACTGATTATAGATTGATAGTTTTTATTAAATGTCGCTATATTGCAGGAATCAATATGTAGCTCATAGTGCAGCATCTGGCATAAGTATTCAATAATTTGTTGCTACTATTAAGTTCTTTTAAAGTTTGTATTGTACCATCTAGCGTGTTGCAGTAAGTGTACTCAGTAAACATCATTTTTTAGAATTTCTTACTTCTTTCAATTTCTTCTTTCATAGTTTCAGTATTTCATGATTTCTTTGGTATCCTCTTTAATGCTTCTGTTTTCCACTTAATATTTATTAGCATAGTGATAAGAATATAAAGTTTTAAGCATTATAAGAGCTTATAATTAAGAGGTACTGTCCAGCCACACAAAAACAGATGAACCTAAGTAATATGTTAAAAATTGGCAAAGTCTAATACTGTATATGATGTATTGTCAACATCAGAGATTCATTCTTGAATCTGCATTTGTAGATAATAAGCATCTTATTTCACAATCTTGAAATAACTAGAACCTATTGAATTTAATATTGGGGCAGAAATAATACTTATAGAAATCACACTGTACTTTTATATTTTGCATCATTTAAATGTTTGTTATTTTGGAAAAACACTACACTTGGGTATCATCTATTAGCATTGTATTTGCTACACATTTAAATATTGAGAAGTGGTAAATCTTTAAGATATTTCAAATATTAAAAGTTTTCCCCAGATCTTTTATCATGTTTATATTTGTCCAAAATAATTGTATTTCCATCTCTTAACTAGGGAGCTATGCAAACCGAAATACTTAAATAAGACCTCAGTACGTCCTGGCCTGAAGAACTGTGGTGATGTTAATTGTATTGGACGGATTCATACATACCTCGAGTTGATAGGAGCAATCAATTTTGGATGTGGTAAAAATAAAAAACCAAAACACCTTTTATCCAATATTTTTATCCTTTCAGCATCCACTAATTTCTTTGATGGTTAGCAGTCAGTACATTTTAAGAACTGATACAGAATTCAGATGCTACGTTATAGAATAAATGTAGTATAGAGATTGTGAAACCAATTTTTGATGGTTTTGTGAGACCAGTTTTTGAGGACCTACAGTGAAATTGATTGTGTGATTTTAAAGGAAAAGTATGTGGTATAAGTAGTTGAAATAATTTAAGAGTGAAATTCTTTGTCAGGTAAAAGAAAAATATAATAATGCTAAAAATATTCTGGCAACATTTGAATAAGGGAAATAATTTATGAATTTCTACATAAAAATGTAAGAAATGCCAGAGTATTTTTCATGAAAGAAAATTTCTCGCCCTAGTTTTCTTACATTTGTAGTTGAGGAAATGATATTTACAGATAAAAATTGTAAGATACTTAAGACCTTGTATCCATGGTTTGAGAAAACTATGTTCTATATTTTGTATCTGAAAAGAAACGTAACCAGGAAACTTGTCGTCAAGTAACTTCATTATAGGTAGAGCTAGAACTTACAGTCTGCCCTAAGGTCTAAACCTGTAGTGGGTGTCTGTTTGCCCAAAGCACTGTATGTTGGGACTGGCATTTGAAGGAGACTTAAGTGCCACAGTTTGCTTAGTCACTAACAAGAAAATGAAGTCATGTTTTCGGTATTAGATGACAAAGTTAGAAAGTGAGCTTAGCACTCATTAAATCAAAAATTCAACATATTAGTTTACTTCCTGAATGTCCCATTTTATACATTTTTCCTTATAATAATACCATTGCTTTCATTGTAAGCTCTGCCAACTAGTACATCCAGTGTAGGTTGTAGAAAATCATAGAAGTTTGGGTATAAAGAAACTTAGAAATTAGCTTACAGTTTATAATCAGTGTAATCGTATCTTCTTACTTAACAAATTAGTTTCATAAACTAATAGATTGTTTTGTTTTTCCTGAATTCCAATAGAACAGGCCATCTATAACAGGCCACAACCAGTTGATAAAGTACGAATCAGAGACAGAAAAGATACAGTAGAAGCTTACCAACTTGCCCAGCGCCTACAATCTGTGGTAAGCGGTCTTCTTTCTTACTAAATGATCACTCCTAGTTGTTGACACCCTCATAAGGTGGAGCTATAAGGCAAAAGGAAGAAACAAAAACTCAGAATTCACTGGTAAACTATATAGAAGTATGTTTTGCTAAAGTAGTCTTAGACTACTTGGTTTTTATTTCTAAATCTAATGTATCTTTTAAAAGTATTATACAGTAAAGTGTTGTTTTTTTTTTAACACTTTGTTTATTGTTTAAAATTCTTGCCATGAGATTCAGCTTTTTGGAATAGCTATTAAAAACACTTTAGCCTTCATTTTTTAATACTTGAGGTTAGTGAGTTTGACATATTTTAAAGTTTAGGAATTGTAGTTAAAAAGGTGAGTTAACAAGTCTTTCAAGAGGCAGTCATATAGTGATTCTTTTGTTTTTATTGATAATATAAGCCAATCTGATGATGGGTAAGTAACATGAAAACAGTGAGGATGATAGTGTAGGTTTCTTTCTCAGTATTCAGAAGTGGTAGAAACCACTTCTGCTTAGATTTATTTAAAAAGGATCTTTCAAATACAGGTGCTGGAGATGGTGCTGTTCATGTAATGACATCTAGCAGCCGTTTTAAAGGCTTCAGGATTGAGGTTTGCACAACCTAGTATTAAGAATTCAGTTGACCAACTTAACAGTTTTTACTTTTGGTGTTAACTCAGCAGTTTTTTCCTTTTTAAGGCTGAGATGTAATTACCAGTCTTGTATCTTTTGTTGTATATTCTTACAAGTCTACCACAGGTGGTTGAAAGGAAAATCATTTTCTTATTGAGGTTCTTTTTTGATCTTAAAAATATTTTTGTCCTATATTTTAGCTCCCAAATAATAAAGCTGAAAATTAAAAAAGAAATCCACATCAAATACAGAAAATCATCATTGATTTATTTTTGAATGGATGCTAACTATTGAACATAAAGTTAGTCAGATATAGCAATCAGGGGTTATAATCTTCTAGTAAAGAAATTTTTAGGAATTACTATTTTGGTTTGGTGTATCAATGTACTATGCTTTCTTCAGAGTTAATCTTGCTATCTTTCGTTTTATTTTAATTCCATCACAGCGCACAAGAAGACGTAGAGTCAGAGACCCATGGGGAAATTGGTGTGATGCAAAAGACTTAGAAGGACAAACATTTGAGGTAATTTTCGCTTTTTCAAACTGCTTATTAGTAAAGGTTTCACCAATATGTGTTTTAATATCTTAGTTTCATACATACTGGTCTTGTGTGTGTGTATATGTGTGCTTACATCTCATCCTATGTTAATCTTTTTTTGTTGTTGTTTGGGAATCAAAGTAAACAAAAGAATAGCAAGCACTAGTGATGCAGTTAAATTCAGTCTTTTTTCTCATTTTCCGAACATTGATTGTCTTTACATTGTGGTTTTCAAGAACATCTGCCAGGTGCCAGGAAATTGGTATACCCATTTCAATTCAGTAAAATTTTACTGAATGATACTCTGATATACCAGTTAAAATATTGTCCCAACATTAGGTATAAATTACAAATAATGAAGCATTATTGCTACTATTAAAAACTATGGCCCTAAAAGGAAACATAAGCAATGAATGTGTGTATACATACACATATTTGTGAAAAAGCTGGCTTTGTTACCTTGAACAACTATATAACCTAACAACATCTCAGGTGGATAATAATATCTCCCTAAAAATTTATTGCAAGCATTAAATGAAATAAGTGAAAGAAAAATGTGTGAAGGTCTTAGTATTAGGTATTCAAAAGCCTTGCTTGTACCCACTACTCAGTACATACTATCTTCTTTCTCTCTCCTCTACTCCCTGCTCCCAACCTCATACCCGAGCAGTATTCTGAGCACAACAATTAGTAAAATATGTTTTCTGCCTAGAAGGAACTTACATTTCTAGTAGGAAAGATAAAACCTGTGGTTAAGTTCCATGTGATTTGTCCCAAGAAATAAAAGATCATCCCAAAGAGTGATCATAGATGGTTTCTCATATGATCTTTTATTTGAGTTATGTAGGATGAATAGGAGAATCCAAAAATGTAAAAAGCTAAATAAGGGCATTCCAGACTAAGAAAAAAACAAATGAAGATACAGATGTGAGAAAGTATAAGACATATTCTGGAAAAAGTACATTTGGGTAGAATATAAGATTGGTAGTAGAAATGCAAAGAAAAATACATACAATTAGATATGTGCTTACTAAGTGCTAAACACTATTGTTAGTATTTTATATACATATTAACTCATTTAATTTTCATGGTAACACCATAACATTATTAATATTAATATTGTTGTTTCCATTTTAAAGATGAAGATAGACACATAGAAACTCTTACTAACTTACCCATAATCTCTCAGCTAGTGAACACCAATACTAGGCATTTTCCTTCCAGAATCTGTGCTCTTTGTCATCGTACTTTGTTTCAATTGTGAAAGAAAATTCAACACAGCGGAATAAGGTTAACTAAAATTAGGAAATAATAGGAAAGATTAGGTGCTTCTAAGATTTTGAACCTGGTGACTATTCTCATTAATTGAAATATTCAAGTTAGCAGAAAAGGTAAATTTTAAGTTTGTTGTGGCTGGGTATTTTGGAAATTTATAGATTATTCAGCATTCTCTGTTAGAAAAAAGACACTTCCACACCAGCTTAGTCTGTCTTGTTCTCACATGCCACCAAATATGACTTTAAAGGAATATTTTTATTAATTCTACCTCTCAGTTGTCTGTGGACTCTGATCAATGGGTGTTTTATACTTTAGCATCTCTCTGCTGAGGAGCTGGCAAGAAGAGGAGAAGAGGAAAAATGCAAACCTGTTAAATCTTCAAAAGTGCCAAGATCAACAAAAAGGTATAGTACATATTGATAAATGTGATTTTTTTTTTTTTTTAACTAACTACAGGTAGTTAGAAAGTGTGCAGAGAAATTCCGTAAGAAATGGAGCTAAAATTTGTGAAATGTGTTGTTTCATTGATTATCAGTTTGGGAGATCGTAAGCAAAAGTTTTAAATTTGTCAGGTACAATGAATATAGGATCCAACCTATGTTGTAAAAGGGCCTTATTTATGACAGGTAATCATTCAGCTCCCTAGGTATTATGAATAAGTACCTCATGAAATGAAAGGAGTTTCTATCTTTGGGTGGTGTTCACTTACTGAAGGCTCACTACTCAACTCTAGAATTTTCCTAAAATTAAACATTTACTTATTCTGCTTCCAAAATCTGCTTTTATATATGTTTTTGAAAACAAGCTCATTGATTACCTATTTCTAATCTTGCATTAATTTTCTCATTCTATGTATGTCCTCAAAAAATGTTAACATTGGGTTTATATCATGTTCCTTTCTGTTTTCTGTTGTATTTCTTACTATATTTTATCTGTATTTTCTCATCTGTCTGGCCTTTAGTTTATTTGAATTAAGTACTTTTTAATTTAAAGATCTTATTTCATTCAACAGATGTTATTTGAGTGCCTGTGCTATATACACCAAGTACTATTGTAGGACTACCTTGTTCAAAAGTCTCTTCTGGAGCCGTTTTGGTTACAACAGGAACTAAATAGTCCTGTTCCTTTTAATTTCCATTAACATGAACATATTCCTTGTTTGTTTTTTGTTCTATGAACATAGCCTTAAGAACCCCTTTTATTTTTCTTAACACATTGCTCATACTTCTGTTCTTCACCAGCCCTTTTTAATATTCACTCTCTGATTGACACACGCTTTATATCTCAAGTGGCTTAGGTGCCCCCTCCCCATCTCTTGTTTTTGTTTTTGTTTACTTTTTTGTTTTTAAGTGTGTCATAAACCTTTCTTCATACATTAACTTCTTTGGTAGAACTCTTATCATTTATTCATTTAGCAATTATTTGTTAAATTTAAAATCTGTGCTGGATACATTTTGTAATGACAAATATTTTCGAAAAAACTCCATCAAATTTTTTCCCCTTCCTTCAGGGGAGTAGTTAAACATTTTCATTACTTTTTTGAAACAATGTAGGGCACTCACTAACCATTCATAGTTAAATGTTTTTACAGTTAAAAAAGAAATTAAGATAAAAGTTACTTTCTTTCAAAAGTCCTTTTTTATCAAATCCAAAAGAAGAGTGCTTCTTTCAAAAGGGTTGTGGGAGAATGTCTAAGAGATTCTCCTTGTTTAGTGTTTTTCTCATTCTAAAGAATTTAGGTTTGGATTGATGCATATACCTAGATTTTAAGTAAAGGTTACTTTCCTAATTCTGTTAGTGAGTTCATATTAGAAATGGATTTTTTTTTTTCTTTTTCAGCTCATTTGATCCCTTCCAGCTGATACCTTGTAATTTTTTCAGTGAAGAAAAGCAGGTACTACTTATGCATCACTGAATGACCATGAAAAATACCTTCCTGTCAGACATGAAATATTTCTTCTTTATATACATTCCTGAGGCCTATGTATGTGAAGAATTGGCATAGGTGGGATATATTAAGGGTTAGAAGAATGATACAGATGGAAAATGAGAGGGAGTTTTCTCCCTGTTAGGGTTTTGAATGGTAATTGGTAATGACACTTTGGTGTGGTAGATACAGGAGAAAAGGGTGGACAGTTAAGTGAGGGAGAACAAAAATCTCTATTTTTATACTCCCCCCCCCCTTTTTTTTTTTATATTTCAGGAACCATTTCAGGTGAAAGTAGCTTCAGAAGCACTTTTAATAATGGATTTGGTAAGGATAATCTATTGTGTTTACTTAGTTATTCTGATTTCTATTCTTGTGTATTTTTATTGCAGGCATAAGAGAAAAGTATGGAAGACCTGTATTTTGGATCTTAACTATCCTCTTTTACAAGGAATCTAAAAATAAGTCTTTTCTTTTGGAGAAAAGCCAAACAATTGCATGTTTCCATATTTTAGAGAAAATAAATTAATGTGAGTTTTTGCAGACTGTTTATCATCATTAACCCTATTTTCATTTCCCAGTATCCTTTGTCTGCTACCTTCTAGATAGCTGCAACAAAGCACAACTCCTGATTTGGAGGTTCCGTTTCTGCACTAAACTACTGAGACTTCCAATAGTTGTGTGTTTGTTCATGGAGTTTTTCTATAGGAGGACCAAAAATTATTTTTACTTTGTATCTTTATAATACCTTCTCCAAATAGGGAGAGCAAATGGCATCTTAGAGTCTTTGAATGTTTGGTTCAAAGTTCTCAACTACCAGTCAGTAGATCTGAACTCTCAAGTCCCTGTACAGTGGGTCTAGCATCTAGTTCCTCGACTGTGCTGTCTTATTTTACAAAAGCATATTTGCCATGCTTGTGAATGACTTCCTATGATAAGTGTGTTTTATTCTGATTTTTTACTCAGGTGAGTTTGTTTGTGGGTCTCAATATGTTTTGTATTTCTTTTAGCATGCTCATGTTTCTATGGCAGAAGTGATTGGTCTGTTAGGAGGAAGATACTCAGAAGTTGATAAAATAGTTGAAGTAAGTTTTTTCTTCAAACATTTTTAAAAATTACTTATTCCTGTTCCATGTTATTTCAGTGACTATAATTAAAATATTGATTTTGCCTAGATATGATAAAAATGTTCAAATGTAGAAAGGTGATCCCAAAAGTGACTTAAAGTTCCATAAATTAAGGTGAGGCCTTGCTGTCTCATTGCCTTTACCAATAAATGTTACAATTTCTAAGACAAAGGAGCATGTGCTGACCATAAATTGAACCTTGTTACGCTTCATTCTGTTGAAATTATTACTGTAAATAATAGAAGGATTCAAAGAGTATATTTGCACAAGTATTATATGAACTGACCTGGAAAATCAACAATTCTTACAACCTTGTTTGAGTGAGAAAATAGATTCTGAGTTCCTAGCTTATTTGTAAGTTTCTAGCTTACTAGCTTACTGGCTTCCTGTCATATAGTCAGTTAAAAGGGTGGGCTTTGAGAAGTTTCTGTGTCTATATATGAGAAAACTAAAGCATTAAGTTAATAGAATTAACAGGATTTTGGTATCATGTAAGGATTAATCCTTTATAGGTTTTTGCTGCAGAACCATGTAACAGTCTGAGTACAGGACTACAGTGTGAGATGGATCCTGTCTCACAAACACAGGCCTCGGAAACCTTGGCTATAAGAGGCTATAGTGTCATTGGATGGTATCATTCTCATCCTGCCTTTGATCCTAATCCTTCCTTACGAGATATTGACACTCAAGCCAAATACCAGGTGTGTTCATAGGTATTACATGTATGTATTCTGCAAACAGTTGTTGTCTCTCCCCCTCTTTGCTCTCTATTATATATACTTTTTAACTTTTCTAGCAAAGTATTGCATCTGGAACTTTGAAATAATTTGCATTTTTCCCTGATTACAATAACAATAGTTATTTAAACATTTAAAAAATCAACTGTTTTGTTTAATACTAACAAGCTATCAAAGTAACCATAATGATTACTCCAGGGCCTTTAAAAAGTGATGTAGGCAAGTAGAACAGGGAGTGGCTATTATTGAAATAAATCAGAACCATAATGCATATTTTGCCTTACTAGAAAGAAAGTTGTATGTTTGATATGTGAATGTTTTGCTATAGGCAGTTGTTTGTAAATTATTACCATATTGGTCAAGATAGCTGAAGGGTAATAAATATATTCATAGCAAATACAGAGTTTTGCAGGCCAGGATATCTTTTTAGGGGTCATTTTAGATTGGCTTAAACATATTTTAACCTGAAAAATTTAGTCTGGGATGACAATACTCAACATTTCTTTTGGTTGCTATTTAAATGTGAAAGTTCTAACATCATTTTGTTCTTTTCACCAGTAGATATTTAAAAATTGGTATGTAAGTACTGACTTTGAGGTGTATGTAGTTGAAGCTAATTACATTTTTCTTTTAATTGTAGAGTTACTTCTCCAGAGGTGGTGCAAAGTTCATTGGAATGATTATTAGTCCTTATAATCGCAACAATCCTTTACCTTATTCCCAGATAACCTGCCTGGTTATAAGTGATGAAATTAGCCCAGATGGCTCTTATCGTAAGTTTTCAACAAAACAACTGCAACCTATTTTTGCTTTTATTTCCTTCAACTTACAAATCAAAGAATCTACAGCTATGAAAAACTGATGGAAAAAATTTGTACCTTCAACTAGGAAATCACCATTTGCGTACCATGTAGTACATCACTGTCTTCCCTTTCATGGTGTCCTTTTAAGCGTAAGTCCCTATTGTGTTCCTACCACTGGGTAGTAGCTTCACAGTATGGAAAAGTTATGACCAAGCAGAGTGTGTATTAGTACTGGAAATACTGCCATAAAAAAAGTAGGCAGAGTCTCTGTTCTTATAAACATTACAGACTGGCTTTCTGTGTGATGACCTTCAAATAAAATTAAAAGGAAAATTGCCACCATATCATCAAGTCCATGACCTTTAGTTTAGACTTAATAGTGCGTTATTGTATTTTTAGATCTTTTATTTTCCATTCTATCTGCAGAAGTTGGTTTGATTCCCTTGGAATTTATGTCTACTTGTGGTCCTGTCATCTCTCATCCTTTATGGGAAATTAGTGTAGCAGACTAAGGAAAGAAAGGGATAAGATGGGTCAGTGGATGGAGAGGAAAAACGGGAGAAAACTACTGGTATCCCTAATGTGTATACTGTCTTCTCCAGTCTTTATTATAGTTCCCATTTTTCTGCCTTCAGTTTCTGGCACAAATCCTGGCAAAAAATAGATACTAATAAATGTAGCCATTAATTTGCTCTTTATTCTTTTTTTTTTATTAAAAAGTTTATTTTTACATCATTTTGCACATTTTTTTTTCATCTCAATTGTAATCCCCACGGGTTTCCCATCACCAAATCACCCCTGTGCCACCACCATAGTCCCGTGCATTTC